TTTGCGCTCACGAAGATCAGAATCCTAGCCTTCCCGGAAAATCGGGATAACTGAGCAGTCTGCCACCAAACACAATTCCTCTTGATGGGTAGACCTTTTCTGAAGACTTTTCTTTTTTTGGAACCGCACGACTTTCCTTTTTTCTAGTTTGAGGAAAAGGCCTCAGAGAAGGATGGAAGCGCTTGGGATTCAGGTTCCAATCCGCAAGGTCTTCTCGTCCTTCGTCTCCTCATCTTTTCGCAGAGGCCTCTGCGCGGCTCTTATTGCCGCGGCTGGCGAAGAACGAGGTCAGGCTGAAGGCTAGGACCGCTAGGATCATTGGACGGAGGAATGCAGGCAAGTTGTTAAACAGTTGGTGACCACGCAAGGTTCTCTTGCAACATTTCTCCAGCAACACCGCAAACTGCCATCATTCGAGAAAGAGTGACGCACTTGATGCTGTTGTTAATGACAGTTGAGGCCAAAGGTTAGCCTTTTGAACACCTTTTGAATTGAAGTGTTCGACTTCTTCGCGTTGCACACCATCCAGGACTTGTGCCAACATCTGGGCCTGAAGCCTCAAAAAGGGAAGACACCTGGGGATGTCTAGTCACCAGTCTAGGAGTGTGACTCGTGTCGGTGAAGTACAAGGGATTCGCAGCAGATCTTGAAATGGACGCTGAACCGATGCACCCTCAACGTGCGATCTAGACTCTCTGATTTTAAAGAGGTTTGGGCCACTACCTGCTTCTAGACTATCTGACTGCCTGCTTCTCTGATTCTGAGGGCATCAAGCCGTCTACTTGGCTCTTCCAACATGTTGGGTGGATTCAGCAATGTCAGGCACTGGTTGAACGACCCACAAATCAGATCTCAGAGCGGCCTCCGACCTAGTAGGAATGGCCTTCAACCTAGAAGCAATGGCACCACACTATATTGTTTCTACTAGCTTCTTGTTACTACTAGTAAGGCACTTGTCGATGCACTTGTTACTAGTAGCTTCTTGTTACTATTTCATCCTTTTTTTTTCCAGTCCTCCATCGTTTTCCTTTCACCGTTTCTTCCAATCGCTTTTAGTCATTGATGCATTGCCTCCTCCGACCACGTCGGCCTGAGGTCTTTACCCCGCGCGCCGCCGGGAGTTGAGCGAGAGCGGCGAGCGGAAGCCCGTGTGGGAGGCAGAACTGGGTGAGCGTGTTTGAGCATGTATAGCATGTGAAAGAATTGGCACCCAAAGCATGCATAACATTCTCTTGAGTAGTAACAAGAAGCTACTAGAAACAGGTGCCACGCTAGTAGTAACAAGTGCCTTACTAGTAGTAACAAGAAGCTACGGAAACAAGTGCCTCGCTACTAGTTCCAGTCGGAGGGTGGAAGGAGCGAAGTAACCCACAAAGAGAGAGAGAGAGAGAGGGAAAGAGAAGGGGAGGGAAAGAGAAAAACATAGACATCAATGGACAGGTTCTCTTGTTCAACAAGGAGCACCACAAGAAAAAGTGGACATCCAAAGCAAGATTTCATCCTTCTGGTCCCTGCGAGGTGGCTGTGGCGCGAGACATGCAGATGTCCGCGCAGGACTTGGCGAGTGTCTTGGCCTATGGCTGCCGAAGGCTAGTGGATGAAGAGCTCAGACCTGGCACTGCCACAGCGGCGCAGGCCGGGACCTCAACGGCAACGGACCTCACTTCTAAACTGAAAACCTACTAGGAATGGCCTCGAACCTAGAATCATGGCCTCCAACCCAATAGCGATGGCCTGCAGCCAACCTAAAAGGGATGGCCTCCAACCTATTAGGAATGGCCTCCAACCTACCAGCGATGGCCTCCAACCTACTAACGATGGCCGTGGCGATGGCATCCAGCCTACTAGGAATGGCCTTCAACTCACTACCGATGGTCTCCAACCTAATAGCACTGGCCTCCAACCTAATAGCGATGGCCTCCATTCTACTATAGGAATGGCCTCCAACCTAATAGCGATGGCCTCCAACCTATTAGCGATGGCCTCCAACCCACTAGGAGTGGCCTCCAACCAAATACGGATGGCCTCCGGCCTCCAACCTATTAGCGATGGCCTCCAACCTACTAGCCAGCCTTTGCACTGTTTGAGGCTGCCAAATCCATTCCTCCGCTGCCACAAGGGCCACCTCCGCCACCTCCATTCCCCCGTGACTGGTGCCCGAACCAAATGCCAGACGTGACCGACAGGCGATGGAAGGGAATGGCTGGGACGAGTGAGTGGGGGAATCACCACGTTCGAATTTCTTGTGTCGATGTCAACGGCCCCACCCCTTTGCTTTTGGGTATTTTGAAGGAACGAATGGAAGAAAGGAGGAATGGTTCAAACAAGAGAAAGGCCTGAAAGAACATAGTATACAATTTTTGTACCGGCCCGGTCACCGGCCACCGGCCACTGCCCACGGCCAGTCACTGGCCACTGGTGGCCTCGGGCAGCATCCGTGCCAATAACGCCCTGTCTCCATACCGACCACCAGTTGCACTTGCATGCAGCGACTCCTTTGCCGCAGTGCCGCTCCCATCTGTTTACCTTTACCTTTGCCGCCTCTAGGCCCCCTGCTGGCCCGCTGTCGGGCGTAAGCCTCTGAAATACCACAAAGAAAAAGATGCACGAAAGCACGAAAACCATTGGTTCAACTAAACTTAGTTCAAGTGGGACCCGTATTTTTTCCAATTGTCCTTTAGAACGCCTCGAGCCAATGAAGCTTGTAGGAGAACTACAAAGGTATCGGAACCACTGGAAGTCCAACATTGTTGAAGTGAAGAAGAAAGAAAACAAGAAAGGAAGGCAAAAAACAGTCTAGAGTCCCAAAGGTCTAGAAAAGACCATCAACAGACATGTCATGTGTGTATTTGATGTCTTGACTTGGGCTTCCCAAGGCTAGTAGCAACTATCCTGGCAAGAGACACCAGACTGTGTGTTTGAATTCTAAAGGTGTAGCAGGAGAAAGTCTAAAGATCTAGACGCGTTGGGGTCCAAGAAGGTGATGGTGGTGATGAAGAAGGTGGAGATCGCCGTGATGGTGGTGGTGATGATGGTGGTCATGGTGATGGTGGTGATGGTGGTGGATGGGGGGTTCGCAAGCTGGGAAAGGTCCACAAAAGTATTGCACCTGCCACGAAACTTCAAGGCCCACAAAGTACTGCACCTGCCACAAAGTACTGCGCCTGCCACGAAATCTGCACTTCAAGGTTCACAGAGCACTGCGCCTGCCACGAAATCATAAATCTGCGCTTCAAGGTCCACAAAGTACTGCGTCTGCCAGGAAATCTGCATTTCAAGGCCCACAAAGTACTGTGCCTGCTACAAAGTCTGCTTCAAGGTCTGCCAAGAAGTTTGCACTTCAAGGTCAACAAAGTATTACACTTGCCACGAAATCGTACTGCAATGTGCACTTCAAGGTCTACAGAGTACCTGCCTGCCACGACTTCTGAAAACGAGCCACATGTCCAAAAGTCACGATTCACTGCACCTGCCACGAAATCTGCGCCATGCGGAAGACCACCACCACGTCCAAAGTACTGTGTCTGCCACAAAGTCTGTACGTCAAGATCAAGCTGCTCCGATCGCTTGCGCCTGTCACGAAAAGTCGACTTTAGACCACCAAAGCACAAGGCTTCCCCCGCGCCTACCACGAAAAGTGATCACCAAGTCCAAAAATGCGCGCGGCACCACAATGCGAGCGCGCCTCCATCAAGCACCGTCCGGCGGCCAGCGATTCGCGCGAAGGGAACTTTTCTGCGACGCCCAGCTCCCTGATTGAACACGGGCTTTTACACTTACCCGTAAAGCTCCTCAGTGTGGACACGCTGTTTGGGGAGGGTCACTCCATCACAAGGCCTACGGAGCCTGCTTCGCGTTCCAGGCACAGCTTGGCAGCAGAAGTCTTCAGACAAAATCCATCCATCTACTACCGGCTGAAGGCACCAGCGCAGCAGCTTCGATGTGATCTTTGAGAGTTTTTTGTTCCCTCGCCGCAGCTTGAAGACCCGATGTTGCAGCCTCTTCAGCGAAAAGCATCTTTGCAGGATCAAAGCACACCACTCGGTGTGCCCTTTGCCACTTGCGTGAAGACCTGTTTTGACAATGTGGGACATCGGATGATCAAGACGGCTGGGACGCTCAGGTGAGGGATGAGCGGGAATGAGCGGGATCCTACGGTAGGTCCGTGTTTGCAAATGCCAAGGTGTTGGCAGTTGTGTCCAAGGCGTCAGGTCTTTTTTGAGAGAAAGGAAAGGACAAACACAAAGAAAGGTCTAAAATGTAAAGGTCCAAAGAGAAAGGGAAGGAACAAAAAACGGACACACGTATTTTTTGTTATTTTTTTCGTTTTTGTTCACGACCTCAGTCAATGGAAATGCGAAGCCGTCTGACAGTTGTGATTTGTGGTGCGAGAACATCCATGCTCAGCATGCTCCTTTTGATTCCCCTTCATCCCAAGCCCCAGGTCGGTGCCGTGGCTGGGGACGAGGCCTCATATGAGACCTTCCGGGAGTTCTTCGATGGGATCGTGCGGCCGGGAACTGAGACAACGAGTACGGACGAGTGACGAGTGCGGGGGATGTGCTCGTTTGGAGGAAGCAGGGGAAGCGAAGATGAAGAGCTTTTCTTGCTGAAGAGCATGGAAAAGGAAATGAGAAGACATCCTTTTTTTGCACTGATTGGGTTACTGGAAGAGATGAGGAGGCGCTGCTTCGCCTGGGGGTGGTGCTGGGACGAGGATGGTTGGCCATTTTAAGTCAAAGCACACCTCGATGGCTGCAAGGTTGAGGCATCCCCGGAGCGACGCTGGACACAGGAGAATTTGAGTCTGCGCAACTGGGAAGGCCACTCGCAAGTGGCCAACCATGGACTCCATGCATCACTGCTGTGCAGATGGCCGCAGTATGCCCTTGATTGATTCATAGAGGGCATATTCACCAAGTGTACCACCAATTGGTGTACCACACCAACCCCTCTAGTCTTCCCGGACATGATTGCCCAACACCTCCAGACATCTCCAGACCTCTCCAACGACGCCTTGTGGCTCCAGCGTGCGGGTCGTGGTCGTGTTGTCGCGATTTGTGCTGATGCCATGCGGCGAGCGCTTCTACTGGCGACGCTGGGGAGTTTGATCGATGAGATCGACCTGGGCCTCTTCTCGGTGTGCTTTACGCAGCTGGAAAACCAGTTGTCGTTGAGTCCAGACTTGTTAGGAATGATTCTGATGGCGCGTGGTCTGGCTGGCAGCCTTTCAGGGGTGTTCTGGGGCTCACTGGCAGATCGTTGGGACTGAAGGAATTTGATTCTTTGGTCCATGCCAGTGGTCGGTCTCTGTACTTTGACGACACCTTCCTTGGCATCCATGAGAGGCTTGATGTTCAAAAGGAACCAGCCTACTAGCAAAAGGAACCTACTAGCAATGGCCTCCACCCTACTAGCGAAGGCCTCCAACCTAGAAGCGATGACCTCCAACCTAGAAGCGATGACCTCCAGGCTTGATGTTCACACAGATGCTCTCAGCCTTTTTGCAGCAGCGGTGGTGCCGGTCTCTCAAAGCTTAGTGAGTGAGAACGTGCCAGAGACTGGCCGGGGCAAGGCCTTTTCCATTCTGGCCATGTGCGCGGGCCTGGCGGGATCAGCCTCGGCCTTTTTGTATGGGATGTTTACGTGGCAATTTGCATATCGGATCATGGGTAGAATCACTCTCATGCTTGCGATCTGGATTTTTATCATCTTCCCAGCTGACGCACGTGAGAAGCCCCAGAGAGGATCCTTTGTGAGAGAGTTGGGCTCAGAGATGGAGCAACTGAAAAAGATTTTGTCCATCCCAAGCTTTTGGGCCTTGCTTTTGGGAGGCTTGGTGGGTTGCATCCCCTGGAATGCCTTGAGCTTTACGTTGATGTATCTTCAAAGTTTGGGCTTTTCTGCAACCCATGCGGCCAGCTTATTGACGGTGATGTCCGTGGGCAAGATCGCGGGAAGCTTACTGGGCGGCCTTTTGGGTGACCGTTTGGCGTCCTGGTGGCCTTTGCATGGTCGCGCGTTCGTGGGTCAGATGTCGATTCTGCTTGGAGCCATCCCACTTTGTTGGGTTTTGAGACCACACAGCTATCAAACTGATCAGAAGGATCAAGCAGATGAAAGCCCTGACAGTTTGATCCAAATCGCTGTGGCACTTTTCCTCTTCTCGTTGCTGGCAGTTTGGTGCCAACCTGGAGTCTTCCGACCGCTCTGGTCGGAGCTGGTGCCAGCGGAGAGTCGTGGGAAGATCATTGGCTGGTGGCGCTGCATGGCCGGGAGCTGCGGTGCCATCCTGGGAGGTCCCATGGTGGGCTACATGTCGATGATGTTTTTGGGATACAAACCCAGAAAGCAAGTCATAGACATAGAGCAAGAAAGCAATGCGGAGTCGTTGGGCACAGCGATGTTGCTTTGTACCATGCTTCCCTGGGCTCTTTGCTTCTGTTGCTACTCGGCCATCCACTTCACATATCTAAGGTATCGTGCCAGTGAGGTCGTTCCCAAGCAGAAAGGCAGTGAACTCTGAGATCACCCTAGTAGCGATGCACTACTACTAGCGTCCTTGTTACTACTAGTAAGGCACTTGTTACTAGAATCGATGCACTTGTTCCTAGTAGCGAACATTGCTCCTAGTAGCGATGGCCTCCACCCTATAGGAGCGATGGCCTCCAACCTAGTAGCGGCCGATCGCTCCCAGTAGGTGCTGGTAGGATCCCCTAAGTAGCGTCCAATCGCTCCTAGTAGCGATGCCCTTTGCTCCTAGGTCATTTTTCTTTTTCACAAAACTACTACTAGCGTCCTTGTTAGTAGCGATGCACTTGTTTCTAATAGCAAACATTGTTACTACTAGTAAGGCACTTGTTCCTAGTAGCTTCTTTTTCACAAAAAGAGCCAAAGCGCTTTCTTTGCGGAAAAAGACCGGACCTTCGGCGCCGAGCAAAGGTGTAACAGTGTAACCTCCGACCGAACTTGAACGCACTTTTCCTTTCTCCAGTGGAACATGGGCCCACTCCGCTGATTTTGGAGCGCGTTGTGCCCTTTTTTTTGGGGGTGTTTGTTGGAGAGAACCTTGCGAACAGGAGAGACGTCGACCCCTCCCAGATGCGAGAGATACCTGCAGACATGGCAGGAGAGGCGGAGGGAATGCCGACATTGCTGTGCCTTTTGGGTGGAGAATCCTCATCTGGAAAACGTCCAAAGAGCATCGAACAAGACAAGTTCTTGCGAGGAGTAATAGGCAGTCTGAGAGACGATGAGAAAAGCAAGGAAGATAAGGGAACCGGAAGAAATGAAGAAACAAAGGAAAGACAGAGAAAATGTGTGAAGTTCAGTTAAGTTTGCCAAAACATCTGGGAACCAAATCATTAATGCAAATGCTTCTTCAAGGAAGCTCCCCCCGCACTCACGCGGGGGAGCTTCCTCGAAGTGTGAGCTTCTTCCTGGAAGAAGCGTGAGCTACCCTGCATCCAGTAGGTTGTAGCTTAAGTAGCCAGGAGTGAGCTAGTCGCCCTTGCTTGATTCAGTAGGAGAGGGCTAACAGAAGAAAGGGACAAACGAGTACTAAAGAGAACAAATAAAACAACAACACGTACTAAAAGAAAGGTTTTCTCTTCCATACAATAAAACATAACTTAAACAAAAACAAGCTAGTAGCAACAGGTGCATCGCTTCTAGGAACAAGTGCCTTACTAGTAGTAACAAGAAGCTACTAGTAACAGGTGCATCGCTAGTAGTAACAAGTGCCTTACTACTAGTAACAAGAAGCTAGTAGAAACAAGAAGCTTCTAGTTCCTAGAACAGGAATTTAAAACAGATTCCTGTTTTGGGTCCGTCCGAGGAGGGCGGCTGGCCTTCGCCCGACTCTGCGTGAGCCGAAACCTCCGGGAGCAGCGGATGCCGCCCGCAGCGCAGTGGGAGCAGCGGCGACACGTGGAACAGACGCTGGTCGGGGGGCCTAAGAGGAAGGCCTCCAACCCTAAAGAGGCATGGCCTCTAAACCTAAGAGGAAGCCACGAGCTTGAGAAGGTGGCTGTATGTAGCTATATGAAGTCATGAGCAGGTTTGAAGGCAAAGGTTCTCTTTTTTGGACTCGAAGAGGCTTCTTTGGATGTAGAGAGGCATTAGCAAGTTTCCATCATGACTTCGGTAGCAGCAGATTGGACATCAAACACACTGACGGCTCTGACCGTACTGGACATCGCCACCTTTTCTTCAGCTGCGGGCTCTGACCGCTTTGGTTGGATCCGAACTCGTGAACTATCGTGCACTCATGGCGTGAGTCCGCGGTACCTCATGGGCAACCAACAAGCTCGGAAGGTCTTGGCGAGCCGCGGATCCGGCAGCACGTTGCCGATGAATGGCAGCCTCGGACCGCATGTGGGCGCCCAAAGTGGACCGTCGGAACAGCAGAGCACCAGCGTGGTGACGGACTCAGAGAAGGATGACTGTATTGCTGTGGTTTTCACTTGGACCCACGGTGGTCAGAACGTCTTCCTCGCGGCCTCGTTCAATGGCTGGAAGGACCAAATCCCCATGGTGAGATCTGGGCAGGAGTTCTCCGTGGTACAGGAGCTTCCCAGAGGTGTTCACCAGTACAAGTTCATTGTAGATGATCAGTGGCGATTTTCGCCAGATCAACCCAGAATGCAGGATAGTTCAGGAAACATGAACAACGTCCTGGACATTTCAACCTACCAGAAGTTTCAAATCACCGATGATAAGGAGACCCCTGGCAAGTTTGGGCAGCAGATCCCTGATCCCAATGACTACACCTTGGATGCGCCTGTAGTTCCGATGGTGCTGAGCAAGAGTATCTTCTCAGCGATTCCCACCCGGCTGATGCCTGGTCAAGGTCCCATGAACATTCCAATCCATTGCCTTTGTGATCACATCTACTTGAAGGATCGCAGCGAAGATGCCCCCTTGGTGGTGTCCGTCACGCATCGCTACGGGCAGAAGTACTCCACCACCGTCTACGTGGCCCGGAACAGCTTCTGCGGCACCGCGACGGAGCCCAATGGGCCCAACTTCCTGAAGGCAGCGGTGCGGCGCGATCAGACCTTCTCCGCGTGAGCCGACGCATAGCCCGATCTCGCGCGGAGGCCGATGCCGAGCCAACGCCCAAGGGGGGGGGGGCATGGCAGCAAAGAATGGTGAACAGCATGTGAAAACATAGCAAAGCATCCGAACATCCGAGCTGAATCAAATGAAAGAACCATTGCATTGCTCAGGGCATTGGCAGGCCTTCACCCTGTAGAGCGAAAGCTTGTACTTCAGATCATTTGTCACCGATGCAGGGACGAAAGCGTCCAAATCCAAGAGCAAAAGTGCTGGCAGTGCATGGGGTCCTGGTGTCCTCGCAGGGGTCCTCGTTCAGCATGGGATGGGTCCTCAGTCCTGAGTTCTTCTTTTACTTCTATTTGGCTACTAGTAGCTAGTAGCTTCTTGCTCCTAGTAGTAAGGCCAGGAGCCCCTAGTAGCGTCCTTGCTCCTAGTAGCGATGCCCTTTGCTCCTAGTAGCTTCTTGCTACTAGTAGCTAGTAGCTTCTTGCTCCTAGTAGTAAGGCCAGGAGCCCCTAGTGCAAGTTTCTCGACATCCATCGGTACACATCGATACCGTTGGTACTCTCTGGCCCAAGGGC